TGGCTCCGGCCACTTGCAGAGAGATCAGCATCCCTGGTTACCTGCTAACCAGGGACACTGATCTCCAAACAGCTAACTCTCCCTGGCGCCCCAGGAGTCTCTTACTCCCGGCAGCCAAGGAGAGAAACACCGCTGTTTCTTTTTTTTTTCTTTATTCTGACACGGAGCAATGTCAGAATAGAAAAAAAAAAAATTCCCATTGAAACACATTGCTACATTACTATTGGCTATTTTAATTTGCAATAGCCAATAGTAAACTAGCATTGTACCCGCCATATGCAGTTCTCCATCAGGTCCATCAGCAGAGGGCAGGTATAATGCTAGTTTACTATTGGCTATTGCAAATTAAAATAGCCAATAGTAATGTAGCAATGTGTTTCAATGGGAATTTTTTTTTTTTCTATTCTGACATTGCTCCGTGTCAGAATAAAGAAAAAAAAAGACACAGCAGTGTCTCTCTCCTGGGCGTCCGGGAGCGGGAGGCTCCCAGAGCGCCCAGGAGAGGTTTTTTTTCCCGTTTTTTTTTTATGGCAGCAGAGCCGGCGGACAATAGGAAATTATTGGGCGGAGCTAGCTGTCACTGCTAGCTCCTCACAATCGTTTTCTATTTACTTTTTTTTTTAAAAACTTAAATTATTTTTCTGTTCTGCTCGGTCCCTCTGAGGGACCAAGCAGAACAGCCGAGCCGAATGCCGCTCAGGGGCATTCGGCTATTCACTCACTGCTGTTCGGCATCCATAAGAATAGCCTGAACAGCAGTGAGTAGCCTGCCGGAGGCTCGGCTCAGCCGATCCACATGTTGGATCGGCTGATTATCATTTTTTTATTAAACATATTTTTGTTTTAACTTTTCTTGACCTTTAAACTTTTTTTTTTTAAACTAGGGGGCACTAACAGGTTATTTTTTTATTTACAGGGGCTTTGATACTTAGTATCTCTGAGTAGAATACAGTATTCTGCTTAGAGATAATTTGTATCAGTTTGTAAACACAGCCGGGTAGCAGTTTACTGTCACAGTGCTGCGATCACAGCGATCAGCTCTCGCTGTGATCACAAAACTGTGACCACCTAATCTGCTGTTGAGGGTCTGCTTTGCACCCCGAGGAACCCATCAACAGTAGTAATTCAATGAGCTGCTGGTCCCTTCACAGACCAGTGCTCATGGTACCGAATGGTTAATGGTACCGGACATTAACGAACTGAACGATGGTGACGGGATAATTCTGTAATCGGTCATAAAGGGGTTAAGCCCAAGAGCAAATATAAGATGTCATATCTTGCAGTTTAATCTTTAGATGTGGTGACTGCATTTTTTTTAATGGCATATTTAACAGACCAAAAAGGAGCAAATAAGAGAAGTTCATTGTTTAAGGTGTACATATATTTTGATTGTGTAATTTCTTCAGTAATCTGCTCAAATGCAACTGAATAAGCCATGTTATGATCACCAATCCAGAACTCCTTTTCTGGCTTGTCAATGATGCATGTAGTACAGGGCTAGTAGATCAAATTCTAATATGTCACTTTTTGGTGGATCCACGAGAGTTAAATCACTAATTGATTTCTATGTCTCATAGGGACTTATGATGGCATCTCTAAGCTTTGGTTCCCATTTCTTACCACCTACTATGGGAATTGTTGATAAAGTCCAACTCTTCCTACTGGAATTTTTTATTAGGATGTTACCAGAACAGAAAGTGAGGGTATATCTCCCTGCTGGTGACATGGAGGCAAATATAATAGAGGATCTTACTTTTCCCCACCGTGGCCCTAGTTTAGCTGTATGTCTTGTTACAGAACACAACACTAGAAGTGGCAACACTCACTGTGTTGAAAGTGAAGTGAAGCTCCAAGGTAAGCAGAACTTTGAATTATGGCTCCATGAGATATAAGAAACCAAGGGTGACTCAGACACCAGCTCTAAATTAATTTTGTGTGGACTGACTATTTCAGTGTAGCTTTCATAGTCCAACCATGATGCACTTTAGAAATTCTGCTTTGAAAGCATAATTTTACTTGTGAGGCATGGCAGGGAAATATGAGTTCCTCATACAATATATTATCTCCCTGCCATTGTACATGCAAAGGCTTTAAGTACATATAATGCCAAAAAGGAAATTAGCAAGTTTAGTTTAGTTTTGCCGGAGGGGAACTGCAGGAAAACTGAAGATAAATATAAATTGCTTGAATATACACAATATATCCCAAAGTCAACAAATATTTCCTTTTGGACACAAAGGATATTTGGGAAGCCTTATAAAGGCACAAGAGTAAAATGTAATATATGGCATTTATATTTATGATTTAATTGCCTTGCTATACAATAGAAAATTAACAAGCTGAAGCTTTGCTTTAAAATCATGTCACAAGAATCTTCCAATCACAGACAATTTTAGTCTTATTGGATAACAATCTATTGTTTATGGCACCAGTAAAAACATGCAGTGAGATTTTACACCAACCACCACTGTCCACCTGAAGTATAGGGAGCATTGCACCATTGCCTACAGGCCACTTTCAGACAGGGCATGATCTAACAGATTTTCATAGCCACTGTATATACAAATCAAAGCTCTTGCAGTTTTTTTTATGGGGACCTGCTGCAAGAGCAGGAATTTGAACCTGATACTGATCCTGATGCTAACGCTTCACAGAGTAAGGCCTCATTCACACTGCCAGTGTTTATATGTGTTTAGAGCACATTTTTAAATGCACATAAATGCAGGTAATGATTTTTCAATGGTGTCATTCAGACTGAGGTGCTGCCAGATCACTTCCAGGAACTGGTAAAGATTGCTCCCCCCCGAACCTGACACGCCTGCTTTGCTTCCTGGGCTCCGTTGCCCCTCCTATGGACCTGTGACAACATCATGGGTGTCGGCAAGTAAAGGGTAGAGAGACCAGCGTCTGTTCACTGATCTCTTCTCTGCTGAATGAAGCCGGAAGCGATGTTGATTTCATCACTTCCGTTTCCTCAGCTGTCATTCCCTGGCTAGAGAAGCCAGAAAATAAGCTATTCAAGCATGATCCATGCTTGAATAGCTTCTTTGCAGTGGAAAGATGACACTACTAGGGGTCTACTAGACCACTAATGTCATCTTAAAGAGATATATTATCATGGCAAGTAATATTATTATTGCAATATTAATTAAGTATAGTAAAAAAAGTTTTAAAGAATAAAGTAAAATAAAAATAAATGTAAAAATACAAGAAAAATCCCCCGCACCCGCGAACATGTGCATAGTAAAATAGTAACATAAACACATACAAATACGTAAATGTTTTCGTATGTGCACTTACATACGAAAACAATGATTGCGCTACACATGTTAGGTATCGACATTCGACAGAGTGAGAGCAATAACTCTAGGGCCAATATTCATTGTTAACTCTAAACTGATGACCTGTGCATGCTTTTAAAGTCCATTATAGACAATTCGGGGTACCTTATTTTGTTGCTGTTTAAGGGGCTCATGTAATTTTAAGGCTTGGCATGTTGGTTATCAATTTACACAGCAAAACTTCATCTTTTTTATTATACAAAAAATGGGTATTACATTGTGTTTTGGTGCACTAAAATTAACATAAATATCATTTTTACTGAAATTGTGGTTTTGATAAAGATTTACGCAACCTCAAAATGTTTTATTCTACAGGGCTGTGCTTTCAGTAAATATATAAATCTGGGGGGTTTTAAGTAATTTTCAGGCCTAAAATATGGATTATAACAAGTGTGCAAAAAAAAGCCTCAGCAGCTAAAAGGTTAAAGCAAGAACTTCTAAATGCAGGAAAAGTGACCTGGGAAGCATAAACTTTGTTTATACTTCCCAGATAATTTCTTTTGTGTTTGGATAATCTAAATGCAGTACAGTACAAGTGTGAATGACGCCTAAGTAATGCAGGTTCTGAACCAAGTATCTACCCATTTTGTCCTCCTCCCTAATCCCTTAGCTTGACCTACAACTTTAGGAACCCACTAGCCAGCAGACAATCTTTCAGGTGGACAGATCATGCCTTAGAAACTGCCCTACGTGTCTATTGCCATGTAATTTGATTTGATAACACATTCAATAAATGTCCTACCTTGTGTCCATCCTACTGATTCCATTCAATACCCTTTTTAAATGCATGTTTATCAGTCTCAAAATATTAGGTGTATTTACTGTTATGGACCCCACTTGCTAAATACAGTATGTGCTAGTGGGTCACAACTTGAAATATACATATTTAAAGCCATTTTCATATAGTTAATAGTGACAATGATTCTGGATCATTACAAGGATACTTTAAACAACATACCCTCTGCATTTTCTTCTTCATCTCAATGTTAGCATTCTTGTAGGACTTTGATATAGCATTGAGGTAATATATTGCCATACTAAATAGAGCAACAATTAAAAAAACATATTATTACGTTGTATTTACTTAGATGGATATCACATCTTTACTAAATATATATCATCTTCACATAAGTATCTCACAATATAATGGATGGCAATCTTTAAACATTAGGTATTGGGTTTTATTGAATAAACATATTAAGTGAAGCAATTCCATTTGAAAAATATATTGTATCAACCTGCTTCTTCAATGAAGAATACATGTTCGGAAGTTTTGATTCCATGGAAAAGTTATCTATATCATCAGGTCACATATTAACCAGTACAAAAGTTATAAAGAGCAAATATTTTAATTGTTTTACACTGTTCATTAAGATACGTTTTCTGTTTATTAAAACAGCTTTGATCATAATGATTAGGGATGCACCAATACTGTTTTTTCAGTATCGAGTGCGAGTACCAATATTTTTTTTTTCAGTACTCGCCATACCGAATACCGATACAGAAAGTCCCATGAAGGAAGCCAGGCGGCGCCTAATGACTTGCCTCCCGGCTTCCTGCTTAGCCGGGAAGCCAGCTCTATGCTCCCTCGTCCACAGGTGACACGGAAGCATGAAGCCGGTTTTCTGGCCAATCAGGAAGCTTAGGGTTGGGTAATGACTTGCTGCCTGGCTTCCTGATTGGCCAGCTTCCCAACCAATCAGGAAGCCGGGCAGCGAGTTAATACACGCCACCCGGCTTCTTGATTGGCCGGGAAGCCAGCTCTATGCTCTCTCATCACCAAGTGACGAGGGAGCATGGAGCCGGCTCGCTGGCCAATCAAGAAGCCGGGTGGCATGTAATGACTCGACGCCCGGCTTCCTGATACCAGAATTTCCAGTATCAGAATAAGTATCGGAAGTATTTGCATGAGTATGAGTACCGATACTGATGCTAGTATTGGTATTGGTGCATCCCTAATAATGATTATTCCCATTTTGTCACATGACTATAATGATAATTGTGTTGTGTATTCTTTCTAAATGCACTCGTTTGTAATACTTACATCATTAAGAGAACTGCTGCAATGATTATTCCTGGATTAGATGCATAGCCAAATACTGTGGTCATAAAAGGTGGAAAATCCTTTTGCATGGTTTCCTGTAGTACATCATACATCCTGTGTTTTCCACTTGGAAAAAAATATAAACAGTACAAGTATAAAAGTGTCTACTTACATATGTTTGTTTATAGGTATGTTAGGTGCACTATAAAAAAAATGAACAAGGCAACAGAAACCAAGAACCCAATGTTATCCCATTATCCCCCATGTAATGGAGATAAACAAATGCAAACATAGTTAAAGTCCAATCTGGATTACCAGGTTAAATACAGTATATCCTGAAAAAACTAAAACTAATGCAGGCACCTCATCTAATGACTGGTAAGCAAAAATATATATTACATGTTGGGATTTAAGGCTCCATTTATACTATTATGCTTTCATTAAATGACACAGAATCTTGAATATTGCCAGTTTAATGCCTTTCCACAGCTCTTGAAATTTGTGTTTGTAAGCATACTTAAGCAGGCAGATATTTTTTTATTTTATTGTATAGGATGCAGGATATATTTGTTTCAGGATATATTTGTTTCTTACAATTTTCCACTGTTATTACAATTTCGAAGGTTTATTTACATTTGCATTAGTGGGGATGTTGCAGCTCAGATACAATGTATGCAAATCACAAATTTCCAATTCACACAAACATGTCAGTGGCTTCAGGTTTCACAGAACCCACCAAATACATACTGAGGCAGAATTTGCCCAGGCAGATCATTTACTCTACCACACTCACCTTGATGTGCCCAATATGCAACATCTATCTATCTATCTATCTATCTATCTATCTATTGATGTATTTTAACATGTTTTGTTACCTAAAAGGTCCACAGTCAAAGGAGGGAGATATGGTCATTATTGTGTATGCCACAGGCAGCAGGCTCATGAAGAGGATTAGTAGTAGAAGAGCCATGTAGAAATTGTTTGATTTTGAAGCTTTAAAAACCCGTTCTTGTGGAACATTGCTGCTCATTACTGCCCAGCACTGTAAGTACATTGAAGAGACGAGTCGTAGTACATTCACAATTATCAGCCCAGGTGCATAAAATGTGCCCATCCTGTAGAGAATACATAATGTGATAATGAACATTGTTTTCTGCTCTCTGCATTCCTCCATAGGGATTAAAGCCCTAAAGCCTTTTAAAAAACAAACAAACATGTCAGCAATGGCAACTCCCATGATATTGTTTTAAAGCATATAAAAATTAATAGAGCAGCCAAGCAAAATAGGCAAATAGGTACTGGCCTTAAACCAAATTCCTCCTCACCCCAGATTTACCAATTTATGATTATATTGCATAAAGTAGATCACAGGGTTGTTCTCAGCCCTCCCCTTAAATAAGCCATGATTGGTAAAAACTTGGAGAACAAATTGTGATGATAATGAGGTCTGATGAACCTCAAAGTGTGGAGAGAACACAATGCTACCCTGATTTTTCCCAAACCTTTGCAAGGCTCATAATAAGGACCTTGTTGTAAATGACCCTGTCATAAACAGGCTGAGAGAGCAGTTTAGCATTACACTTTAGCATTACTTTTACCTAAAAGTGAACTTTCATATTAATGTAAGAGAAGATACCATTCAGTTAGACACCAAACACCGTGCCCTTCTTAGGAGTGTTTTGAAGACATTGCTAGTGCAGGTTTATGGCATTTCTGCATTCTTTTGTAGCTGTCCTGTGTTATAGACTGATTTAGGCATGGCTGATGAAGCATAGATATGATATTGAAATGTGACCATTTTTGTTACTGACTTGCTAAATTGTGTGTGGCAATAATGTTTTTAACAATCATGGTTGATTTAAGGTGGTGGGTTGAGATTTATTGCATGAAGATAGAACAATCCTGTCATCTAGTTTATACAATAATTTTGTAAATCTGGGGGGAAAGATATTTGATTTAAGGCCAGAAGGCTAATAATACTCATTAGACATCTTAAGAGATATATACATCGGAAATATATAATGTTTGAATACCTAACAAATCATAACTTTATCTACTTATTATGTTGCTTGTTGGATTGTGAAACCTTGTCAGATAGGAATATGGAAATATATATTTAGAATAGTTATAATTAAGGGTGTGTCCACTGGAGCATAATAAAGCACTCAAGAACTATATAACAGCCTTCGGATTTTTTCATTGGGTGGGGCTGTTCTGCAACACACATTGAGGTAACAAGACAAAATGGCTGCAATTGCAGCTCTGAGCTCTCGTTTACCATTGCAACTAGGAAGGAATGATAATGAGATATTTATGATGGCAAGTGACTTTGCCAAATCAGATTAAACTTTCCCTGCAAGTGAATCGGACTACGCAAAACCACAGACCAGGCAAACTTTGCATATGAGATTTTCACTTTTCTTCCCTTTTATTTTATTGTTTAAGTCTCTATTGTAATTTATTTTCTGTAAGTATTTCTTGCACTGATTTTCCTTTTTTTTGCATTTTTGAAAAACCTTCCATACTTTTAAACTCTGTTACATTCCTCTCTGGGTGCAGCAGCAGGTGATAGAGCTATTTTTTTTAAAGGTCAGAATTGCAAAAGCGAATGCTGTAAATGGTGTGACTTTCCATTAAAACATGTAATAGCTGCTACCTTGTGTATACAAAGGTTGCTAGTGCTTAGCTCTATGTTCCGTAAGTTGGAAAATCTCTGCACAGGGTGAGGCTGAGAGCTTAATCATCACACAAATGTTCTCTTGTCTTTACAGTACAAAGTTATACTAAAACATCTTGATACAAGTAAATTTTAGTGACTGGACCACAGCTTTCCTATTGATTAATTACTTTGCTTTCCAGCATATTAATGTCATTATTTCAATAAGATACATTTCAGCTACAATATTTTTTGTTGAAAGAATTAAGTCATTGTTGTTTCACTGGTGAATCTAAACTCTTGGAATCCCCCAGAATGAGAGCTCAGGTAATATATGACATGTCAAAGGGATTAATTCACCCAAGTGCTGAATCATTTAGGGTGCACGCTGGTTATACATTTCTCTGCAGTCATTCCTCCTGGGACCATCACTGCATGTAGATGCACATTTATGTGATGAAGTGACTTAATGATAAAAGTAAACTGTAATAAACACAGAATGTAGCACAATCTGTGTTCTGCACGGTCAGATATGCTAGGATCTGTTTTTACCAGTCAAGTAAATTCACAGAGAACATGTGCCTAAAAGGTCAAGTTCACATGGAAAATTTAGCTAAATGCACCTGGGGAACCCGGTGGGATATGTCTGTAAAACAATAATACTTTAAAGAATCTGCAGTTGTTTTCAGGACACATGACATTCAATGACCTTACCATATCATGCCTTGATTGAAAATAAGGCCAAGAACATTGCCACTGATATCAAATTCAGCATAAGATGGCTGTAATTGAAAGAAGAGGGTGAATGTTATATAGAAATATTTTGAATGATGTAGTGCCTGATTGCACTACAGAAATCCCAAGACATCTAAAGCAGTAACATGGCGTGGCCAAAATACACTGCTATTTTTAGTAAGTGTAACCTTAGTGCAAGCTAAATACCTGACTAATTCTATTAATGCATCTCCCACATGTAACTTAAGCAAATAGATAATCTTTATACAATCAGGGCTGTAATTCAGAAAAGCAAATCTTGCTGCTGTAAAACTTACACTAACAACATTTGTAAATTAGGATGGTTAAAGGGAGCCTAAAACTAGGGTAAACATATATTTAGGGCTGCAACCAACTAATCCATTAATTGACAATAATCGATAATGAGAATAGTTGTCAACTATTCTCATTATCGATTAGTTGGTTAGATCCCCTAGCTCTCTCCTCCACGCTGGGAGGGCACAGCAAGCAGTGGGCGGGTGCAATAGCCAGCCTGCAAATTGGCTATTGCAATTTGAAATGGCCAATAGCAGGCTGACTATTGCACCCTCCTACTGCCTGCTGTATTTACATTCTGCAGCCATCTGCAGAATCTTGTCACTGGCAGCTGTCAATCCCTGGCTGAAGCTATTCAAGCACCATGTGCTTACAATTAGTGATGAGCCGAACACCCCCGTGTTCGGTTCTAACTCGAACTTTCGAACATGGAAAAAGTTCTAACTCGAACTTAGAACTCAATGCAAGTCTATGGGGGTAGAACTCAGAAATTTAAATGTCCCCATTTTGAAGCCTTATATGCAATTTATTGGCCATAAAAAGTGTATGGGGATCCGGGTACTGCCCTGGGGGACATGTATCAATGAAAAAAACACTTTTAAAAAATACAATTTTTAAAGGAGCAGTGATTTAACATCACTTAAAATGAAACATTAAAAATGCCTTTAAATATGGTGCCTGGGGGGTCCCCTTTCACTGACCGTAAAGTGGCAATGCAATTATTCAAAGAAAATTATAAAAGATGGGAAAAAAAGTCATTTTCGGTTTCGGCCTGACAAATTCTGCTGCCTGAGGTGTGTTGCAGTGTCATTCATTTTAATGGCACCCCAAAGGCATCTCCCACCCACAGTGTGATCGCCCGCACTGTAACGCACAGTACCGCAATGCCGTACGTTCCAGTGAAATGCGATTACAAAAAAATTGTGCCTGCAGTTTTATTCTAAAGTAAACTTTATGTTTGTAACACTGCTTTTGTGTATTTTATTTTAAACTAAGGATAGTATTTATTTAATTTTTTTATCCGATTAATCGAAAAAAAATATTCGGTCAAATAATCAATTATGAAAATAATCATTATTTGCATCCCTACATATATTCTCTAACAGGTAAGGTTCACCCCTGTAATTGAATTATGTGTATTGGATGTCAAAGGCCAACTTTCTAAACACAGTCATACAAAAGAACATGTATTACGTCAGCATGTAGGAAAATCTAAACATTATCAGTCTGGTAACATGAAAACTTCAAGAAAGTGTCCCACCATAATGGAACTAAATACTGGTAACACAGTTGATTACTTAGCTGCCCTGGTTTACAATATTAACGTAGCTGCAAATGTGTACAAAGGTTGTGTTATCCCTAAAATATAACAGTAAAAGTTTTCCTTGTATTTCCCTCCTAATAAAAGAAACTTACAAATCCACTTTCTAAATCCCAGCACCAGCAGTAGTTGAGAAATCTAACTATAACTGCTCGCCCAAAGTCTCCTACAAGAATCATGATGTATGTCATCTGGGTATCCGAGACTGTTAACTTCACAAACTCCTGTAAAAAACAGTTAAGCATTTGTTTTAATAGTGAACATTCAAAATATAAAACCCTGGGAAAGAAGTATTTATGCCATTTACAACTCAGCCCAATACAATTATACCTATAAATGTTCATTTTTTTCCTAAATAAAAGTAAGTGTCTGCCACAATGACAGTGCTTCCATACATTACTTGTACCACCCACTGACACTATAGGAGCTCTATTATTTCACTTGTAGCTTGCTGACCTTCCTGCCTATAGCTATGCCATTAATGCCATCTAAATTTCCATAGGTTGTCCTCGGCATTATGTTCAATGCACTCTACAAGATTCATGCTGGCATCAAGTCGGGATGCTCATATCTTCAAAGTGGCCAAAGGAGCCCATGTGCATAAGTCTGCTGGTCCCATTCTGTACGCTTTCTCAGTTGCTAAACAAGTACAAGCAGCTGTTGCTAGAGACTCAATACTCCTAAAAAAATCCATGCATTGATATGCTAAGGTGGGCCTACTGCTGTGGAGGGACCAAAAGAAGTTATATGTGCACTTTCCCTTGTTACTGTAGCAGCCTGAGGATATGAAATAAAATAAGTTTATAGTACCAGTCACTTTGTAATACTTTAAACTTAGATGCTTTCATGAAAAATATGTGACAAGATAGTGAAATAAGCCAGTGAAACTTTGCATTTCTGGACTTTTGGCACTGTGCTGTACCAGCAAAAGCAACAGAGAGAGCAATTGCTATGGGAATTGGGCTGTGGAGGTCCAGCACTTATCCTAATTAAATAATGTTTGTTACTTTCCCTCTCATTGCACCAATGATAATATCTTCATGGTATTATTACGGAGAATGTACTTTCATGTTCATAGTGTGTTATTTTGTGATTGATGTAATGGCACCGTAGGGTAATGCACTGCTGAATTTTCCCCTGTGTCAGTTAGATTGCTTTATCTTATAGTCTTGGTATTAGGAGACCTCCTGGGGTTGCTGGGTAACCATCAGGTGTGCCCTTGAAAAGAGTATACGTAGATAGGGCGGGAGCTGGGGGGGAGGTGGGGGGGGGCAATACACAGCTGCTAGTGTGTGGTACTGTTCATGAGGGGCCATGTAGGAAGGAACCATTACCTTACGGGCTTCCCTTAGGGGAAAAGCATAAGGACATTGTCCCACTCATGGGGAGGTAAGCCAGGGTATTGCTATACCCACTGCAAGATGCAGGTCTTTATCTTGTTCTCTCTATGAGTTGCTTTGCTTTCTTAACTCTTGCAATTGTTCAAGTACTGTGCTTCCATTACTCATTATGGCTGAATGCTCAATCTTTATTCTCCAGTAAAATTGCATGCCTTTTTAAGAAGTTTGGGGTAGACTCTATCTGTTATTCTGTACCAATGGAGGGCTACTCTTGGACATAGGTTTGTGCTCGGGGAAGAAAGGTTAGACCAGTGCCAGCAGGAGTGAATGGGCTGGCTGGAGGTCCTGGGTCCTGGTCAGATCAGGCTGGGTCACTCGATGTTTTTGTGTCTCTGTGATTTCCTTATTTAATGGACCACAGGTGCCACATGGACCTCCTGAGCCAGCAGAGGAATAAACAAACACATAAGTTATGGTGTGAAGCAGTTACTCGCATGGTGGTTCTGTTATGTTACAGCAGTTTGAGAGCAGATTAGGGATGCACCTATACCGATACTAGTGTCGGTATCGGTGCCGATAACAAGTTTTTGGCCGAGTACTCGTACTTACCCAAATGCCCCGATACCAGAATTTCTGGTCAGAGGAAAATTTCCTCTGACCAGCAGGTCTGTAGGGGAACATGGAGCCAGCTTCCTGTGCGATCAGGAAGCTGGGCAGCAAGTAATGGCCCACCTTGATGCTGATTGGCCGGGAAGTCGGCTTCCCGGCCAATCAGCATTGAGCCGGCCGAACAGTTGGCTCCATGCTGATTGGCCGGAAAGCCGGCTTCATGCTGATTGGATGGAAAGCCGGCTTCCCAGCCAATCGGCATTGAGCCGGGCGAACAGCTGGCTCGATGCTTATTGGCTGGGTAGCCGGCTTTCCAGCCAATCAGAATGGAGTCGGCTTCCCGGCCAATCAGGAAGCTCAATGCTGATAGGCATTGAGCCGGTTTCCCGGCCAATCACAATCAAGCTGGCCAAATAACATGGAGGCGGCTTCCCGGGCAATTAGGAAGTCGGGCACCATGTCATTACTCACCGCCCGGCTTCCTGATTCCCTGGGAAGCCGCCTCCATGCCAGCGAAAGCACAGGTATCGGTGAGTACTGAAAGCAAAGTATTGGTACTTGTACTTGATATCGAAGAACCGGTATTGAGGTGACTAGTATTGAGGTCTGTAGTAAGCATTAACACTTTAAAAATGTTACAGCTTTGCTTTAAAAACCTTACAAATCTTTAGAGTTAAGTAGCCATCTTTTATTTACTGTAGGTTAGCTTTAAAGAAGAACTCAGGGCATATGAAAACCTAGCCCTTGAAATGGGGCTACCCCTGCACTGCAAGGGTTAAGTGCTAATTATGCTCTAGGGTTTAAAATAAAAAAGAAATTGTCACTTGAGCCTCAATCCTGTGCCCTCCTCTCCGGCACTGAATGTCCCTCGGCATCCTCACATCTAGTACACTTTATTAGACGTGATGACTCACGGATCCTTAGACCGTCGGAGTCGGGGAAGAAGAAGCTGCAGGGACCAGTCTAGCAGTCAGACAGGACTGAGGATTTGGTCTTTTTTATTTTACACCCTAGAAAAAAATGAGCACGTATTCTTTGCAGTGTGGGGTAGTCCCACTGCATAGGTTAATTTTTCATATGCCCAGAGTTCTTCTTTAAAGCCTATCTCCAGGGAAAAAAACTATCCTTGCAGTGGGTTTACTGAAGCACTGCAAAGGTTAACTACTTGTTTATGTCTAGCAGTATTATAAAGAGGATTTTTACTTACCTGATCCTCACTCCCCTGGCTGTCGACAGTTGCCTCACCTCTCTCCTCTTTGCTCTGGCTTGTGGACTGTCCTTTGGCATCCTTACATATAATGCACAGCTATAAGCATCAGTGTAGGCGGGAGGAGGCTGTGGGAGCTGGTCTTGGAGCCAGCGGGAACAGGGATCAGGTAAATAAAAGTCCTTTACAAAACCCTCATAGTGGGGCTACCACTTTTACCTGGAGATAGGCTTTGAAGTGTATAATGCCTCAGTATAAGGTTTATAAACAAGAGAAACAATATTTTCTCTGATCTATACATACAAAACAACTTACAATCCCCACATTAGTTTCCCAGCAGGGACCTCTGGGCATATCCGCTGGATGAATGTAGGGTGTTGCAGTGCTCCCATTGCTATGTGTAGCATTATAAAGGCTGTTTAACAATGTTGCAGTTTGGTTCTTTATCACTTCTTCTTCTGCTAACTGAAATCAGAAAAATCGTTAGAAGATCATATATGTTGTGATAAGTGTCATACATTGGTAAATGTTATTATCTAAATGTACTTCGGAGAAGAATACATTTTGTATCAATGTCTGGCAAACAAAGTTGCTCCTATTGATGTGTATTGTGGGCCGTGGAAACTTTGGCATGATGGGTGGAATTCAATAGTGATGGGCTGAACACCCCCCTGTTCGGTTTGAACTTTAGAACATGGAAAAAGTTTGAATTCGAACTCGAACTCAATGCATGTCTATGGGGCCAGGACTTAGAAAATCTATTGTCCCCATTTTGAGGGCTTATATGCAATTTATTGGCCATAAAAAAGGGGATTTGGGTACTACCCTGCGGGATTCCATAGCCAGGCTGTCTATTGGCTATGGAATCTGCTTACTGCCTGCTGTCAATCACAAGGGAGGCAGACCTGACAATGAACCAGTCTCTCAGAGTTCCTCATCAAGCTCCATCCACCCACAACAAAACTCCTTGGCTGCTGTGCCTGGCTGTGTGACAGGTGCAGTGGCTAGGCAGATATGTATCTGCCTTTGTATCACAAATGGCGGTGCTTGTGCCAAATTCAGGTACTTTTTTCCAAACAGGCACATGAATTTGGGGTAAGCACCGAGATTTGTTATGCGGAAGCACAAAGGCATTCTAAAGAGTGTCGTAGACTGTAAAGATCTAAATACGGATACAACCTGTTTATCTGATGCAAGCTTTTGATATTTTGAGACAAAATTACTACACAATAGTCTGCCTCTCCTGTTATTCTCTCTCTTCATCCCCGATTTATTTTGTGACCCCCCCAACAGGTTTTTGGAGTCTTCTCTACAGAGATGATCTAGATTTAGCCCATCATCTTGTCCATGATAAATAAATATCTATTTATGTTCTTGTTATACAAGCAGCAATGTAATCAGTGATGACAACATCTCAATCTCTTATCGCAGGGCTCAAAATTTCCACTCGCCTGCTCGCATTTGGTTAGTGGAAAAAAAGTGAGGGTGAGTGGAAATTCAGTCAGGCACGCGGTCACGGTCCTGACAGCTCCTGGCTGTGCTGGCTCCGTTCCTTTTGGCCAGTGCTCTTCACTGAACTCTGGCTGAAAAATTGGATTAGTAAGGTCTTCAGCAGACCTTACTAATCACCACTGGATTACCAGGCATTGTGCCTGCTTGCCTCCTCCCTGCAAAAAGGCTCTGTATTATATTTTAAGTGTGGTAGGGTGGGGTGGGGGACAGGGACGGGGGGAGAGAAAATGATTTATGTGGGGGGGGGCAGGGAACAGGGGGGTGTATTATTTTATGTGTGGGGGAAAAGAGTGTATTATTTTATATGTGGAGGGGGCAGGGAACACGGGGAAGAGTGTATTATTTTATGTATGGGGGGAGGGAAGAGTGTATTATTTTATGTTAGGCGGGGCAACTGGTGGCGAGTAACTCATAAGGCCTGGCTAGTAGCTCAGGACATGGAATTATGAGCCCTGTCTTATCGCTTATTACTGCAGATGTACACTTCTGCCATTTGACAGCCGAACTCACCATATGCAATGGCCACTGACAGTGACAAAAGATGTAGTGTCAAATCCAGTGCATATGTATAAAGATCCTTAATATTTTTATTGTAGCTGATATGTCAACATTACAAAATGGTTGATTGTACCCATCCCCTCCACCATACCTCCATGACTGGCAGCACAGAAAGATCCCATTTCAGTGTGAAAGTTTCACTTTTTATGGTTTAAACCTATTTTGATTATACCATGGTGAGGAGGGGAAATGGCTATACACAATATGCTAAGATTAAAGTTTCTGCACATGTACTAAGTTAGGCACATGGGAATAATAAATATACAAGACGTGTGCAGTTGTGCACTAAATCTAAAATAAGATTAATGTAGATACTTGCAAAATTAAAGAGTGCCGTGCTCAAAAACTGACAAACTAAATATGTTAACATACTGTATATACAATAAAAAGTGATAACAAATCATGCAATATATTATACACAACCCACAGTGATACTGCTCTTTTAGTGACAATCTAATAAAAATCATATAAACCGTCTGGTATAAACATTTATTCCCCTATGTCCAAATAAAGAATGTCCTTAGCGTAACATACACTTTATTGCCAAACGTATTGGGACACCCTTCCAAATCATTGGATTCAGGTGTTCAGGAAATATCCTTCCTATTAAATATTCCACGGTCAACTGTTAGTGGTATTATAACAAAGTGGAAGCAACTGGGAACAAGAGCAACTCAGCCATGCAGTGGTAGGCCAGGTAAAATGGCAGGGCAGGGTTAGCGCATGCTGAAGTGCACAGTGCACAGAAATCGTTTAACTGTCTGCAGAATTAATAGCTACAGACCTCCAAACTTCGTGTGGCCTTCAGATTGGCACAACAACAGTGCTTATGGGTTTCCATGACCGAGCAGCTGCATCCAAGCCTTACATCACCAAGTGCAATGCAAAGCGTCGGATACACTAGTTTAAAGCACAACGCCACTGGACTCTAGAGAAGTGGAGACGTGTTCTCTGGAGTAACGAATCACACTTCTCTGTCTGGCAATCCAATCCTGGGTTTTGGCGGTTGCCATGAGAACGTTACTTCCCTGACTGCATTGTTCCAAGTGTAAAGTTTGGTGGAGGGGTAGGAGGGGCATACCAAGAAATTTTGGACAATTTCCTGCTACCAACTTTGTGGGAACACTTTGGGGATGGCCCCTTCCTGTTCCAACATGACTGCACACCAGTGTACAAAGCAAGGTCCATAAAGACATGGATGAGAGAGTTTGGGGTGCAGGAACTTGGCTGGCCTGCACAGAGTCCTGACCTCAACCCGATAGAACACATTTGGCATGAATTAGAGCAGAGACTGCAAGCCAGGCCTTCTCGTCCAACATCAGTACCTGACTTCACAAATGCGCTTCTGGGAGAATGGTCAAACATTCCCAAAGACACACTCCTAAACCTTGTGGACGCATTCCCAGAAGAGTTGAAGCTCTCATAGCTGCAAATGGTGGGCCAACTCAATATTGAACACTACAGACTAAGACTGGGATGCCATTAAAGTTCATGTGCTTGGAAAGGCAGGCGTCCCAATAATTTGGCAATATAGTGCATGACCGGCAGAAATGAAATGCAGCATATTACCTGTGCAATCGATTGCAAATGCCTCTTCCACAAATACCTTTCAAAGTGCTGTTCACCTGCCTTTCAGACCTCTATATAAAGTCCTAGCCACATTTGTCCCCTTTTTTAATATACAGGCAAGGGAATGGAGCCCACCACTCCACAAGCCAGCTGTCACTGGACCTCCTTTCCAAGGTGCTTCACACTGTTAGTGCCTTTGAACCATTTCCTCAAAGATTTCCCAATATCCCTCCTTGATAGCTCGACAATACTCGGAGCTGGGAAGCACGGACTACAGCTGGTAGCGTTTCAGAGAACGGACGAGTAATTTTATCCTCTGGCTACTTTGTTTTATGTGAGTATTGTATCTTCACATGCGAGTAGTATTTTATTAAAGCATTTTTTATCATCTAGTTGTTTGCACTATGGAGTATTTTCTCTGTTCATGTATTTTCAAGCAATCGAGGAGGGATATTGGGAGATCTGGAGGAAACAGTCCAAAGGCACAAACAGTGTGAAGCACCTTAGAAAGGAGGTCCAGTGACAGCTATCTTGTCGAGTGGTGGGCTCCGTTCCCTTGCCTGTTCATTAAAAAAGGGGACAGGCATGGCTAGACCTGTATATAGAGGTCTGAAAGGCAGGTGAGCGGCACTTTGAAGTATGTTTGTGGTGGAGGCATTTGCAATCGATTGCTCGGGTGATATGCTGGATTTAATTTCTGGCGGACATATGTTACGCTAAGGACATTCTCTGTTTGGACATAGTGGAATAAATGTTTAAACCAGACGGTTTATATAATTTGTACTGGATTGTCACTAAAAGAGCAGTATCACTGTGGGTTGTGTATAATATATTGCATGATTTGTTATCACTTTTTATTGTATATTTGTTAACATATTTAGTTTGCCAGTTTTTGAGTGCGGCACTCTAAGTTTGCAAGTAGACACAAAAGAACACCATAAAAATATGTTAACGCTTAGCGGGTCTCTTCATTTTTTTGGACAATACATTATTTTGTTTATTTAGAATTTTAAGATACAAAGCTTTCATACTTTTGCATTAACATCCTGGATTAAAGCCAAAAGAAAGGTGTACAGATTTCCCAGGAACAATGCAAATATCCGTCCAAGTTGCCATTTCAAGGCCAGCCTAGGATGATAATTTTCCATTGCAGCTATTGTTTCAAACAACGGAGGACAAAACATTGATAACAAGTTCATTACGATTTCTATCTGCAAGTAGAAAATGTATATTACGTTACTCAAAAAACATCATGATTAGTAAAAAATACAATATTAATGCACCTATAGATACCTTGTTTAGTTTCTCCAATCATCTATTAATGCATTTTGGAAGAAAATCTGATCTTTGTTTAATGGCTTCCTACTTCTTCTCTCCCCACCATAAAAAGAAGGTAAAATTCTGAGCAATTCTGAACCACACCTTATTGCTTCACTCGTTTAGATCCTAAGCAGAGTGTTCATGAAGTGCAAACATTTTTATTAATCTATTAGGCTGGGTTCACACCTAGGCGTATCAAATATGCACGTTTGGTGCAGCGCGTTTTTACCGCGATTCACGGTAAAAAAACGTGCGACTAACGTATGTTTCCGAGGGCTACCTGGCTGTATCCCAATGGATACGCGTGGCAAATACGCCCCAAAGAAGCTCCTGTGAACCATACCCATAGGAAATAATGGGATTTCGGTGTTTGAGCGTTTTGCAGAGCGTAGGAACGCGCTACAAAATGCCCAGGTGTGAGCCGGGCCTAAGAGTGACTTATAAAGTAGGTCAATACAAAGCTCCAGTTATCTGTGCTGCTGTTTTGACACTGGGTCCATAGAGTTGGCGCTGAGCTCTGTTGTGAGCATGCCTGTTTGGCTGTTTTCTTACTACTCTTCTACTCCCTCCAACCTGCATATCTAGTGACAGTGTTTGGCTCAGGGAAGCACCTGGAGCCCAAGACAATTCCTGTCAATCATAGCTAATTAAGTATTTGTCTTCTAGCTAGATGAGAGGTCGCACAGAGGTGGTGGGGAGGGGGACCTACTGTTGACTACACTATCTCAGCAATAAAACAAGCTAGAAAGATGGGACAAACATGCACTTTGCCACCTGGGGGGACAGGAGCACAACAATGTGCAGTGATACCTCTTTAAAAGTGAACAATAATATGCACCATACAGTAAAATAAAGTACATAAAATCAAGCATATGTAGAGTATGTGAAGGCAGTCTACCAGCTAAGACACTTTGGCCACTGCTGCAACATGCTTCACATTTATAAGCTATCTACTGGGTTTGACTTGTATGTGTATGTAGCTCAGAGCTTGGGTGGCCCCAGATTTTTTGTGACAGAATATTGTGTCTTTTAAGCAAACATTCCCCATTCTCATATGAAGCTCAATCAATCTCCCAACTAGCAAAGTCAGCAATTAGGTCAATATGAAACAGCAAATGGAATCGCACAAGCCAACTAAATGGTACAATGTAATGGGTTAATAGAATATGGGAAGTTGCGTCCTTTATCCCTAAGGAGTGTAGTGCTGGTTCATGTGTCTGGACACAGGAAAGGAAGCTGGTGTTCAGAAGGAAGAATGCTTCAAGGCAGGAAACAGTTATAGGAAAGGGTAGACGATACAACAGAACCAGCAGTAACATGTGGACAAGAGGACTCTGAGGAACAACAGAAATAGGTGGACAGGATAACCAGGGGAAGAAGCAACAAGGAAGTAGTAGAACGGCCAGCTGAAACAGATCAATAAGCAGGAAGCCCAGCAGTAGAACACACCACTGAGGACCAACCTATAGTAAGTGACCCAGCAGCTGATCAAAGATGAACATATCACAGACAATGGTTGACTGTCTAAATGAATCTATGGGAGGTATACCCCTAAAATGTAGAGGCCTAATTATTATCAGCAATAGGATTCATCCCTGGTTTGTAAAAATGAGTGAACAGAAAAGTATGGTTAAATGCAACTGATACCCACAAATCTTCAGAGTCACAGTTGTATTTGAATTAAAGATAACACCTAATTATTATTATTATACAGGATTTAGATAGCACCAATAGTTTGTGCAGCACTTTACAAAATAAGGAAGACATAACAGATACAATACAATTCAAGACAAAATAGTTAGAAGGGCCCTGCCTGTGAGAGCTTACAATCTAAAAGGGAGGGGCAAGTGATACAAAAGGTGGTAGCTTTGTGGGAATGAGTTTTGTGAGAAAGTAATAGTTTAGTGGTTAGGTTCAGGAGTGATAGGCTTCCCTGAAGAAATGAGTCTTCAAAGATCGCTTAAAGCCAGACAGAGTAGGAGATAGCTGAACAGGGTGGGGTAGGGAGTTCCAGAGGATGGAAGAGACTCTAGAGAAGTCCTGGAGGGGAGCATGGGAGGAGTTGACAAGGGAGCTAGAAAGCAGGAGGTCTTGGGAGGAGCGGAGAGGATGGTTAGGGTGATACTTTAAGGCAAGTTGAAGATATAGCTGGGGGCATTGTTGATAGCTTTGTAATGTGGTTGTTAATATTTTGAATTCTATTCTTTGGACAATTGGAAGCCAGTGCTGGGATTGACAGATAGGGGTTGTAGACACTAAGCGGTTGGTTTGGTGGATCAGTTTGGCAGCAGCATTCATGATAGATTGAAGGGGGCATAGCCTGTGTAGAGGTTGGCCTAATGAGGAGAGTGTTTGTATTCATAACAATCACACTAATTCTCCATTTCTTATAAATAATTGCAAGAAACTGTTCATCTTTTATTTCCATGATCAATTTATAGGGGAGAAAACACATTTTGACAATTCAGTTTAATTTTGGTGATGGTTGCACATTATAAGACCTGATTTCACATTCTCCAGCATATCAATGTATCATACCTCGTTATTTTGATACCAACTTGGGTTATCCAGCTTTTTATATTCTTGTCCCCTCTGTACAACAAAGTAAATGAGATAGCCACTTCCTCCAAGACAAGCGACAATCAAAATATTTGCCAATATAATTAGGAAGCGTTGAAGATGAACATTTTCTTCCTTCGTGTTTTCTTGCTCATCCACAATAGATTCCTGTTGTCAAAAGAAAATCAACTAAATGCCGACCTGTAAGTAGTGAACATTATAATTCCAGTGCCCAGACTATGGACTTTCTTCGCTGCTTGAAATTAGTTAATTCTTACAGATCCTCAAAGATCACACTTTGGTTTTAGTCAGTTTCTAACAGTTAAAAAACATCTGCTGGTTGGTTACATTAGAGGGCTAGCAGGTTGCCAAGATCTGGTCTCATAGAAAAAAATAAAGCTAAGAATTCAGTGCCTCTGTTGTCAACATTGAAAATGTGTTTCTCTACAATGTCCATAGCTACAGAGGTGAATGAGGGTTTTCAAAGTGCTTTTACTGTTTGTGAAGAATATGGAAGTAATTTAGTGTGCATGAACTGGGCATAGGTTCACTTCAATATATTCTTCTGCCACTATAGTCCAAGTGATGTTAAATTTGTATGTTTGTAAAGGAAAACAAAACATTTACATTTTTTTTCTGTTTTGGTATCGTGGTCAGTTTAGTACATTGATTGGAAATGTTTTTGAAAAACAGATGTCAATATGTTTACACTAATTCTAAACATATATCTTTGTACACATGAATATCAAAATGGGACACCTGGTACGCATTCCTAAAATGATATACAGTATATACTGTCATACAGTCCAGGGGACTGAATAAATAAATTATGCCAAATGGTTCAATGCACTCAAGAGCTCAGAAAAGTTTTTAATGTACTCTACTCTCCTTAGCAGTACAATGAAAAGAGGGAGCAACGTCTGCATGTGTTGACACTAAACCGCTACCCCAGCAGGCCCTTCCCCTCAGGAAAGCACTGAAGACTGGACTGGTGAATAAAATGTAAAACACACTCATGTGTACGAATCCACAGGCTACCTAAGCTATTCTAAAGTATAGGGAATATCCTTTGAATACAAGGAGGGCAAACTACATAGACTGTAGAAGACAAAATCTGGAAGACAAAAGCTGTGCATGGTAACCAATCAGCTTCTGGCTTTTACTTTCAAAAGTTAACTGAACAAACGGAAGACAGTGTCTTTTTTTGTAGAAAAAAAATATATAAGACACGGTCTTACTTTCGGGGAAACACGGTAGTATAAAGAGGTATGACAACACGCACAATGGATCAAGGTATTTAGTTCTGTTCCACTATCTACAATATACGTTTAATTAATATTTGGATTCTGATCTTTTGTCTCTATCCCAACAGCCAGCTGTTACAAACCTTGGCCTGAACCTTCAACTCCCATCCAGTCTCCTGAACAGTTACCTTCACTACCCAGCTGTTACCAACTTTGGTTTGATGCTCAGCTCCGATCCAGTCTAATGAATCTTTACCCCTGCTGTTTGGCCGTTACCAACCTTGGTTTGTATCCTGTCCATGTTCCCGTCAACTGCCCTAGTACCCGGTGTTCCTGTGTCTAGTTTATTTTTAGTTTATTTCCAGTGATCTACAATCCAGTGATCCATGAACCTACAAGTCTTGATATATCTGGTACTGCCTGTAACAGCGGTAGTTGTGCCACTCCATGTCCTTGCATTCCCTGTTGTTTTTCCCAGGGGTGTTGGACAGGAGGGGAAACAGAAGCCCCCTTGTCAACTCAGCCTCTGCCAGGACAAAGGCAGCAAAAGATAAGGAAAGTATTCTCTGAACTGGCACTCTGTCCTGCATAAACTGTGTGGCAATGATTGTTAAATTATTGGAAGAAATGGGATGCAGAAAAAATAATCTACCAATCTAAAGCATTGGCTGGGCCACTTTGGTCAGGATACGTATGGAGGAGGTAACATTGTCAAGGTGGGTACATATGGGGAAAGTTTGCAATGTGATAAAGTCATAAGACAACCTCACAAAGAAAAGCAAAACATTTTACATAAGGATAATGGCATTGAAGTCAAAAGAGAAATGAAGAGCTGGGGATGTTTGTATTTGACCACCAATGTAAAGGGGCACTACACTGACCACCAATATAACAAGGGGTACTACAGTGACCACCAATTACCACCAATACACTCACTACCAATGCAAGGGGGCACAGACACTAACCATAAATGTAAGTAGGGCACAGACACTCACCACCAATTTCAGGGGGCATTGATACCTAGTGTAAAGGGACGCAGGCCACCAATATAAGGAGGATCACCAGACACTGTCTACACATATGTGTACTAACTCAGTGTATTGTGGGGGCACTAACTCAGTGTATTTTTTTCTCTCATAAACCACCAACACCAGGTATTTTTTCCTCTCTCTGACCACCAATGCTTGTCTTTTTTTCCTACCCTGACTACTGATGCTAAACATTTTTTCTACCTATTACTATCAAATTTGGGATTTTTTTTCTTGCAATGACCGCCGATGCAAGTCTTGTTTAATCCCGCTGACCACAAACACTGGTCATCATTTTCTTCTGCTAAACAGCAATAAATGGGCACTATGACATGTGTTGCTGACCACTAAACTCTGTACATTGTGTTGTACATAACAAAGTGCTTACTACTGTACATTACATACTCCTGACCAAAGGGTTTCTTAAAGGTAGGCAAGTGGTAGCTCTTTGTCTTTATTCTTTAAAGATGATTCTTTAGGTTTATGAGTGTCTGTGAAACTCTCACTTGTGGTACAGTAGTTAAGGAGCATTTTGTGTGTACAAGGACTGTGGCATATGTGTCCAGTGTGACTATATTTAACCATGTTCCTTTAAGCCACACCCAATATCCAATGCAGTTTAGCCACACCCACTCTTCACCACGTGCACTTCACATCTTTTTTTCCTTCCAGGTTTGGGGTTAGGGTCATGTATGAGATACTCTTGCTTGTGGCACAGTGATTAAAGCTGATTTTGGGTACTAAAGGACTGTGGTATATGTGTGCCATGTATAGTAAGTAACAGGGGCTGACTGGCAACTTTTAGCCCAGGGTGCAAGTACAACCCAGAGGCCCATGATGCAGCAACTTTGCCCCCCTCCCGCTCTGCCTCTTCCCCGCCTTCTCCCCGCCCCTGTCTGCCACTTTTACCATCCATGTAACGGTAGTGTGAATGGTCAGGTGATGTGAGGACTCCTAGTAAGTCCATGAAAGGGACGACTGGCTGGAGGATGGTGCTCTCCTCCTACTGGGCTCCCTAAATGGTTCTGGCCTTACTCCGCTCCATGTCCGGTACTTAGGCACTCTCCCCAACTGTAGACCTGTGCATGCTTCTGGGCTGTGAACTGTGGGAGGTTAGTGGGAGGGGCTTGATAGTGTCAAAGTCAGTGTTCTATAATTTTTCTCGACCCTATACATTTTCCCGACTGTGTCACTTCCAGTGGGGCTGAGTCATCCGAATCAGCTGTTTTCATGACTCCTTTTCTTCATGACATGCGCACCTAGAAGAGACGCGGTAGAGAAATTTATGGATTGAGGAAATGTATATCATACTGGTAGTGGAGGGATGCCTCATCAGTGCTGTGCGCGTGTATGACTGCTGCGACCCTGGTAGTTCTGCCACTAACTCCAAGCTGTATACATCATACAAACAGTGTATAATGTTTTGCTTGTATTCCTCTATACCATCGGCTATAGAGGAATACAAATCCCACTATCCCAGCAATACATTATAGAGCACCATGCGGGGGGAAAGTGCAGGATTACCTGAGGAGTCTTCCAGCAACTTGCTTCTGAGATCATGCCTGCCTGTCGGCGGCGGTCATCCCCCCACGCCTGCTCCTCCTTACTTCTTCTTCTTCTCCCCACGTCCCTTTGTCGATCGTAGATGTGGGCGCGCAGGCGGTGAGCGTGCCTGCCTACATCCCTGGATCCACCGACAAGCGCAGCCTCACATCTCCCACGCTGTCAAAACTGCATACAGCGTGTGCTGGTTACTACTTAAACCTGCACGCGCTGTGTGCAGCTTCTGAGAAGATACGCTATTAGCATAGCGAGGAAGCCGGCTGCGCATTTTGCATCGCTCCCACTACGCTAATAGTGGATCCAGGGATCAGGTGAGTATTAAAAAAAATGTTTTATTTTAATGTTCCTGGGGACATTTAAAAATGTCCCCGGATTTTAGTTTAAAAATGTTGTCACCTTACCTTACCCTGTTGGTCAGTGAGGCATCCTGGTGGTCAGGGGGGGCTTCCTGGACCCTGGTTGTGGGAGGGGGGTCTGCTGTGGCCGCAGCTGCAGTGGCTCCCTCCCTCCGCCGCCTCTCTGCCACATGCACCCAGCCGGCCAGCCCGCCCGCATCAGATGCGGCTCTGTACTCGGCAGCCGCTCGCTCCTCAAGGCTGACCTCATCCAGCCAGCCCGGATCGCCTCGGTATACGATCCGGGCTGGCTGGATCAGGCAGACGCAGGCCTCTAATCAGACATGTTAGAGGGCCGCCCGCGGGGTCCTCGGAGGCCCCCCTTGAGGATCGAGTGGCCGTTTCTAAAGGCAGCAGAGAGGCCCGGGGGGCAATTTTAAACCCTGCCCTGCGGCCCAGTCCGCCTCTGGTAAGAAGGCTCAGCTGGCCATCCTTCTAAGCCAGCTGACCTAAGTTTTAAATCCAGGAAGTGCATTATGGTTAGCTGGCTAACCTGTTGGCCAAATTGTTTGGTGCATCTGCAAATAGACCACAAACAGGCATTGTTCACCTTAAACCCATGTTAGACCTGAACTTAATCCCTGTTGTCTCTTTTATCAGGATCTACACACCTGCTGTTGCCTTTATGTGGAGAACCACTCCCTTGTTAGAATTTTTTTCTATACCCAAATCCCTCAGTTAGACATGAACAGTGCCTGAAATTATAGTAGGAAGATTTCACCATTGGATTAATCAAAACATATACCAAGCTAAGGGTTTACTCTACCCACTAGTTTCCATTCATAACTAAAATATTATTGTTTTTAAATCAAGGCTAGACTAAAACGTTAGCTTCAGATGCTGGCATGTACCTACTCAATAATTGTGGCTGTATGTTAAATGTAATCTGCTAGGCAATATGTCACTATAAAATGCTATATATAGAGGACTCTCGTCTAGACACTGCAATTCACTATTCAAACTATGGATACTGAGACATTTAGCAGAAATATTTAGCTTGTAAATTTATCTTGTATTCCATTGAAGAGAAGACAAGAACATAATGCACAGCAAGTACAAATTCTTCAACAATTTTTGCATATGCAGATGACATTAAGCTATAACAGGCAAACAACAATTTAGTGTTGTGGTCTCTTATATCTCAGTAAAAAAGTAAGTGCAATGTGACCAGAACAGAGAAATACCCCCTGCCACGTGTTACTGGGTGGCTTTTGGTAGCCTTGTCCATTATATGTACATTTTTGTAATTACCTTGAAGCTAGTTGTTATCGAAGCAAATTTATTATCTGCAGTTTCTGGGTTGCCAATAAGATAATCCCAACTAGTAAACATCTTCCAGCTGAAGATAAAATTGTCATCATCCCCACCAAATGTGCTTTCATTCATATTCTTTGCCATTCTGTGCACAAGTGAGGACAAAAAGCATTAGATGTGTTATTAAAAGCATACATAAACTAGTGGAAACTGCACTAATAACCATGCTCAAGGTAATATTTAAAGTTAGATATAAGCAGATCAATGCTACAGGGGACACGCTACAGCGGACATTTTTTATTTTTTTCTTGTCACAAGACTCCCTGTATTTCAAATATTATACAGCAACCTTCTATTTTTTATTTTCTATTGTTAAACTGCACTATGCAAAAGGAAAAAAGTGGCAAAGTCTATGATAGTGGGTGTCCTCATCCTCCATATACAGCTAGTGTAGAATAAACTATAGTTTATTTAGTAAATAAACTAACTATGGTATACAGCTATACATGTTTTTGTATAGCTGGGTTCTACTTAATATGCAGAAAAGAATGCATTAGTGAGGTTTTTTTTGGGATATGCTGCAAAGATTTTCAGTTCCACAGTCAATCACATCCTCCTTTTTACCACTCATATGTATCGTGAGGATTGTTAGATGATTATGTATTGCTATGACTGTAACATTACCATTCCTGAGGATTGCTCATGAATGCTGATTATTAGATTGCATGATTGTGCAAAATAAATCACAGAAAGGTCATGCAAGCAAGAGATACTGTAATACTGACTTGAAAATCATCACTTGTGTATAAATATTCATTTTGTTTAATTATCCAATCATGTGAAATGCAAATTCCTGTTTAACTATTTCTTCTGCACATAACTGGGTATTCAAGGTACATGTTAGATAGAAAAAAAAAACTGCGCTAGGAATCAAAATAGCAAAAAAGAAAATGGCACTGCGCTTCACAAACCCAAATAGTATTCCTAAAATGTGAGAAAAATAGTGTGAAATATGAAATTAGCATTGGATATGTGAGACAACACAACAAATGGGCAATGGTACTTACGTTCTTAACACAACTATTAGGCTGTATCCAAACACGCCCACACCACACAAAAGAAAGGCTAAGGGAAGTCTAAACTTTAGTGGTCCAATCGTTCTTTCACTGTCATAGTAGCCATAGAAGAGGGGTGAGTACTTTAAAAGTCCCTGTAAAATGGAAACATATAGTAACTATAACATGTAAAATACTCAAACAAGAAGAATCAGTTGGGTAAAAAAAAAATATTGTGCTGGTCATTTTTTTAAAGTATTTTTAAAAATAAGATTCAGTAGTTATATAAATGTGCTGGTTATGCTGTAGGCCAAGTAAGGCAATATATAAACTAAAATGAAATGTGTCAAGAAAAGTATGAATATAGAATGAATTAGACATTTAAAATTCGTGTTGTTCAGAAATGAAATTAGGACCGATATGTGCATATTGGGAAATTCGGATGCATTCGAATTTCTAATGAAAAAATAACGAATTCAAACTAATATGAATTATGCTATACCGAAAATTTGAATGCATCATGCATAAATGAACTGAAAGGTGCTAGACAATCCAGAAAAAAAGTGTGGTCCCCCTCAAAATTCATACCGAACCCTTTAGATCTGTTAGGAATTTTAGGGGGGGGGGGACCCCAATGCCAAAAAGAACAAAAAAGGTGTGAGGTTCCCCCAAAAATCCCTTACCAGACCCTTGATCGGAGCAGCAGGGGAGCAGTAAAGGGGGGGGGGGTAATCTTGCACCGCCCTGCACCATACCAGGCCACATGCCCTCAACATGGGGAGGGTGCTTTGCTGGGGGGGAACCCCATGGCAAAGCACCTTGTCCCCATGTTGATGAAGACAAGGACCACTTCCCCACAACCCTGGCCTGGTGGTTGTGGGGTTCTTACTCATTCACCAAATGCAGAGTAAAAAAGTAAATAAACACACCACACTGGTTGTTAAAAACTTGTCAAAAACTGTGCTGTGTTTACTTACTAATAAAGGACATTACAAACCGGTGTGGTGTGTTTATTTACTATTTTACTGTGTATTCGGTGAAGGAGTAAGGGTAAAACAACCCCTTACTCACTCACAAGGCGGGTAGCATCTGGGTGCCCCCTTTATGAATGGGGACCCAGATTCAGATAAGTCCTCTGCCCTGGCCACGTAGTTATGGAAAAGGGGCCCTTGTCCTAATCAACATGGTGATGAAAGGAATCACCAGCACTCACAGAATACAAAATTCATAATTGTTTTTATTGAACGTGCCTCACGTGTCACTCAAACCAACATTTCAAGGCCATGCAGGGACCCTTCCTCAGAGCGATATAGTGGCAAGTAATTCAATAAACCAGTGCAAATATATACAGTGACTATACACCCAAAAAAAAAACAAGTGCCACCGCTATGATGCAATAATGAGGGCAATATCCTGCCAGAATTCAAATAATAAACAATCACAAAAAAAACATATAATCTGAGTGCATGTTTACTAATTTTAGGGTATTATATATTAAACAATATATGTTTTGTTTTTTTGTAATATATTATTCAATATAAAGTGATACAGGGAGGAGGGGGACAGGGGCTGGTTTCATTAGGAATTGTTGTCTTTGATTCTGAGTTCCACTCAAATTTTTTTGGTTCGTTTTCTTTTCTTGGAGATACAGTATATGAGATCCACTAAGTAGCCTTCCCCTACCACTTCCTTTAATGGGGCTGCTCGCAAAGGGCATGGACTTTCTCTGTGCACACAAGATCTTGAAGCCAGCATCTCTTTCCATGTCATAGATTGCTTTCTTAGTGACATGTGTTGTATATGATACTGAATGGGGTTGCTTTTTCTATGGATACCATAGATTTTCTCCAAATTTCAATTTCTGTAAAAGCGCATGAGGCGTTAAACATGTTGAATTGTCAACCAATGAATCTAATTTCCTCTTAATTGTTTTTTCTACATAGTTCCTTTTCCATGGAGTGGTTTTTGGAGATCTTATGTTTACATATTTTGATGGAAGCTTTCGTTATGATAATATCAAATATATTGCTAATGCAGTCTTATAGGGGGAGGTGTTTTTATCACCACTTTTTAAAAAATCTTGATAAAATAAAGGAATGCTTTTATGCAATTATTATGTTTTGCAATTATTAATTTAACCCTTGGCTTGTTTCAACAATATAAGTTGTAATTTTTTATTTAAAAAACGCGTAATTCAAAAATAAAAATGTAAATGTATCTTTAGCCAAAATTGTTTTGTGTGTGTGTGTTTTCACTTGAGTGGGTGAGTTTTGGAACTCAAAAATAAGAGGATTCCCACCTCTGGAGACGACTGTCACTGGGGCAAGACAGTGAAGGAAATTTCTCCACAGGATTGCACACACAAATACAAACAGGCAGAATTTGTATTGGAAAAAGGTATTTTTATAGTTGTATGTTTGTGAAATTTTCCATCTTGATGAACATCATCGCTGAAATAAAAAGTGTGGGGAAAACTTCCTAACAGTTTTACAGACCGCAATAGAAATCAGACCTACATTCTAACACCTCTTTATCCTCCCCAAATGACAAAAAAAAAGATTTGGCTGAACTGTCAAGGTTTATAATAATTTTTATAGGAAATAAAGTATATATATTTTTTACCCCAAACTCACTAAGAACACCATAGTTAATTGCTGTTGCCTGCTCGTCTCTTGGTATAGTCTTTCTTGGAATACTTCCATATGGGAGGCCCATTAATATCTGTGTTGTAAAGAAAAAAATTTACTCAGCATAAATCATTTTTTTCTCTTATGTTTTTTTCTCATTTTTTATTTAGGGAATTTTAACATATAATGCTAAGGAGAATCTGTCACCTGCAAAAGAACACAGTAAACTCCCCGTTATCCAGCATCCACAGGGATTGGTAGATTCTGGATAAATGTAGTTTCTGGTTGCTTGAGAGTTACTATTAAAAATAGGTCTACCTAATGCTATACCCCATACTATACCATAGCATAAACTCTGTATTGATTTCATATTAATAATAAAATACAGTAATCAGTGAAAACAAGTCCAAAGCGCTAAATTTGACCAACAGATGAATAGTACAAAACGAGGTTAACTTGGAGTGCTGCCCCACTTCAGCTTGGGAAGCTGCAACACTGTGAAAAAAAGAAAAGAGAAGGGCGCCCACCCTAGTGTAGAGGGTTTTTAATGATTCTAAGTACAAATACAGAGTAAAAACATACTCACAAAAGTGGATCAATAAAAGCATCAAGATGCCTATGCAACTGTAGAATGGCTGCACATATGCCTGTATGTCAGCACTGTGATGACGCGTTTCCGGGGCCACGCCCCCTTCGTCAGAACATCATGACGAAGGGGGCGTGGCATATGTGCAGCCATTCTACAGTTGCATAGGCTCATCTTGATGCTTTTATTGATCCACTTTTGTGAGTATGTTTTTACTCTGTATTTGTACTTAGAATCATTAAAAACCCTCTACACTAGGGTGGGCGCCCTTCTCTTTTCTTTTTTTCACAATAAAATACAGTAATCAAAAACAAATTAAGACAAATAGACACAGTATTAGTGCTGTAATACAGGTGCTGTATAGTAGATCCTATCTGACCTTAGGAAACAGAGCATACTTATGGCCTGGTGTGCCCTAGGGCTGCCTAACAGTGGTACTGGAGATCTACAGTATACTGTACTGTATTCCATGAGCCTACCGTGCAGTACTAGGAGTGATCACTAGGGGGCACATGCACACAGCTCCCATGCTGCATAGCCCGCTCTTCCTCCCCTACAAGGTTGAAGAGGATCGCAGAACAGTGAGTGCACAGTGGATTTTTTTTGCCGGTTAGATGAGGGTTCGGTTAGTTGAATACCAGATTATTGTACCTGGTTATCGAGCAATTCTCTGAATAAACTACCATAATTATCAAAAGTAAAAATTGTTACAATGTAGTAATAAATGCTGTTTTTCACTGCCATAAAGAATTCATTAGGGAAAACTATTTTATAAACATGTCTCACCCAATGCTTTAAAAGATCATTGTCCTGGTGCGTTAGCTTTGTGAATAAAAGCCTATAGTGTGCCATTTTATATCCAGTACTATACATAGTATTTTCAGTTTGGCATGACCTGTATTATTTTATGTATCATTTAGCCAGTGAATATATGATTTTTGCATCACATATTTTTGTGGAACTTATCTTTCAAACGCAGGACAATTGCTTAATTTGTGTTTTTGCAATACAATTTTCTATAGTGAATTCCCTCCTATCTCCCATGTTTCCTCTCCCTTTCTTGCTTCTGTTTGTGATTTCTTCTTTCCAGGGACTTATTTAGATCTAAAACTGTAAATTTCACTGATGGTGTTCCTTTGTAAAGGTTCCACTCCCTCGGATCCTATTATACTATCCGACTGTTATTTTGAGGGCTAAATCCTTATAATGAGATAGTAAATTGTGTTTTCTATGTGCTGCTACTGCAACAAACCAGTTTAGAACCTTCAAATAAAAAGTAGGTAGTTGCTCTTCTTACTTTGTCACCCTTAGGAGCCCCTTGCACACAATCATGAAAAAATTATTCAATTACAATGGTATGCTTTGGTGCTGCCTCCATGCTATCATGGTGCCCTATTGCACTGATCTTTGAGTACCTTTTGGTAATACAGCCCTGTTCCCATCACTGCTGATGCTGTGTTGGACAATTTACCACTGCCATAGTCAAGAACATAAGGTACTGTCTTGCTTTTTACTTGCCTCAGGTATGAAAATCAGTCCAAGCACCATGCACATAAGAACTAAGTTAACTCCATATATCCACCTCAGAAATATAAAGTATGATGCCACAGAAGATCCAAAGTGACCTTAAATGCAAACAATAATTTGATCAAATTACTGACAAAACAGAACTAAATTATTTTATTTCCCCGTATAGTTAAAACCTGAGCTGTCCTATAACTATTCAGCCACAATTCTACCAAACCAGCCAGTCTACATTCATTGTCAAACAACTATGTGAAATAAGACTATCAGGGTTATTCACAAAAGGGTGAAGAGTGTGGAGAAGGCAGGAGAAGTGAACAATCTAGGACAAAATAGCTGATTTGGAAAAATTCTCCAATTCAGCTCACTTTCCAGTTCAGCTACAGTATGTTGTCCTAAATTGTTCTGTTCCCCTGTCTTCTCCAAACTCTTCACCCTTTTGTGAATAACCCTGTACATTTAAAAAAAAAACATATACCCCCAAATAATTGGTGAGCGCAAGTAAGTATGGCCTGGTATATGCTTAGTAATCAACGCATCTAAATGTTAACCATTGAAGAACCAGCCTGTAGTAACCCTTTATTTTTATTTATTTTTTTTCCATTTAAGTTTTTATTTATAAAAGAAGGGTAAATATACAACCATAACAAAAGGTAAAATACAACATTAAAAAAAACATCTACACAACAAATTAAGCATACAAATACGTATACAGTAAAAGCCCAAACAGATGCAAGTGCAAGTAGCGATCCCAGAATGAGTAAGCTCAATGAAACTCCCCATGTCCTTAGCTACAATATAAATAGATCTACAATAGCACATTTGGTTCTGGGCTCTAAAAGAAATAGAAAAACTCACTCCAGCGAATGTGATCCTGGGCTCAGAACACTTAGAGGCCCATTCCGGGCATGGGGGAGAAAGGATGGCAGAAAAAGAGATAACAGGGAAAAGAGATCAGACTGCACCAGTGGAGAGACGGAAAGGGAAAAGGGAGTATAGTAAAATATATAGGGGACCACATATAGTAGGTTACAAATCAGTGGAAGGAACTAAAGAAGATAAGCCGGAAGGAGAACAACTCTAAAACTCTGCCGGCAACACCACCTCCCCCCCCCCCCGGGGCGAACAGGTAAGAGGGTTTGACCAGCCCACCTGCGACCCTGCAGAGCCCACCATAGAGAGGCTCTGCAGGGTCACTCCCAGGTGGGTTGTTTGGGTTATCAGGTGAGCGTAACTAGAAATCACAGGGCCCAATACAAAATTTTGCTATGGGGCCCTGTGATTTCTAGTTATGCCCCTGGTCCTACTGCTCATCGTATATACATCCTCATATGTCTCATCAGAGATTTCCAGGCATAGCTCCCTCTTCCATTTGACCTTCAAGGTAGTGGTTAGGGTGGGTTTTACAGATCTTATTAGAGCATAAAGCCAGGAAATAAGGTGTTGAAATGGACCGAAGCATGCTCTTTCAAAAGGAGTCATATTCCTAGCAAACATCTCCTGCTTTGCTGGAGTAGTTAGGTAGTGTCTGACCTGAAGATATGTCCACCAGGGAACTTGTCCCTTCTTGGAAAACAGAGCTAGGTTTCCTCTGCTTAAAAATCATTTGTTTTAAAAAAAACATATGTGCAGTCAAAGGTGTTGAAGATGGCCAAATGAGGTAAAAAGTTTGTCATAGAGCCAGGAGGAAAGTCAAGGTTATCTCTAAAAGGGGTCAGGGGGCAATCTAGCATAGTCAACCCACAATTATGTCTGAGGTTGGAGAATTCTCTCAGAGAGGCCTCTATCAATGGATGGTCATTAAGGCATCTTGGCCAATGCTTGTCCGAGAGCCAGACAACTGAGGCCAGTTGTTGGGATAGCCAGTTTTGTTCCATGACAACCCACATTTTGAATCACCATTAATATGCCAATCCATAGGCCTACTAATCTGAGATATAGAAATAGTAACCCTGAACATGTGGGATGTCGAGGCCACCATAGCGCTTAGATGCCTTCTAAAGTCCAGGCCAATCTAGGATGCTTACCTTTCAACACAAAGCTCCTAAAGTCAGACTCAATGCTCTGTAAATACATTTTACTCAACATGATAGCAACAGCCTGAAACAAGTACTAACCCTAACCATAACCCTAACAGCCTCGGCAACACATTCATTTTGAGTAGGGACGCCCGGCCAAACCAAGTAAAGGAAAAGTCTCGCCATTTCTTAAGGTCTTTTTTAATCACCGAATGAATGCGCAGGTAATTTAAGCAGAACAGATCCAGGGTGGAGGTTGGGGGATGGATACCCAAATATTTGACATTGGAGGAAGACATTTTATTAGAGGAAGTCCAATAAAATGGAAACTCACTTTTCACTCCGGCAATGACATCAGGCAGCATACTCAAATTCAGAGCCTCAGATCAAGCATAATTAATGGAAAGATTCAACAAGGTGCCATACTCAGAGAAAAGTGCAGTCAGTGAGTGTAAAGATTTCCTAGGTTCGGACAAGAAAAACAGCATGTCATTGGCAAAGGCTGCAACCTTGTGCTTAATTCTCCTTATGGTGTTCCCACAAATCTGTGGATCAGCTTGTACCAGGCACAGGAGCAGTTCTAGTGTCAGAATAAAGATAGTGGCTGACAAGGGACACCCTTGTCTCATGCCATTCTTAATTTTAAAAGGTGAAGACAAACAACCTGTAGTATGTACCCTAGCCCAGGGACATGTGTGCCTAAAAATTTCCAGAATGAAGTCCCACGTATCCGTCTCGAACGCCTTCTCCGCATCCGTTGAGAGTAAAACAGCTTCCCTACCATGTGCTTCAAGCCAATGAACAAGGTCGATGGCTCTGGTTGTGTTGTCCCTGGCATGTCGACCAGGGACAAAACCCACCTGTTGACGATCAATCTGGGATGGCAGGAATGGGAGAAAGTGGTTCGACAGGATCCTGGTAAACAAATTCAGGTCTACATTTAACAATGAGATAGGTCTGTAGCTGGAACAAAGTTGCGGATCCTTGCCCTCTTTGGGGTAACAGTAATCTGCACTTTCAAAGTCTGAGTTTGGAGGATAGTCTGGCTGTCTATATAATTATAAGCACCAAGAAAGTGAGGGTTGAGTGTTTCCTAAAATTTTTTATACTATTGAGAGTGGAGGCCATCAGCCCCCGGGCATTTCCCCAGTTTAATCTGGGAAATAGCCTGTGTCAGTTCCTTCACCGAAATAGGTTTTTCCAGAGATTGGGCAATCAAGGTTGCTAAGGTAGGCATTCATGACCTATGTATGAAGGCACGGATTATTCAGGTTCGGACTATGGATAAGAGAAGTCAAGATCAGTAGTAATGTTGCCTGTGGAAGAGTGTTTGAGTTTTGAGTTCCTGAAACCCAAGTCAGCAAATGGGAGATTTGGCTGGCCAGTCCAAGATCGTATTGAAAATAGACAAAGAGTGGAAGGGATAGCGCCAGACATAACCGTTTCCGGGACCCCCCATATTCCAATGTTAGATCTCTGGCCCTGCTTGTCTAAGTCCTACAGTTGTCTCCTCATGTCTATGAGATTACACACTGTGCAATCCTGCTGAGAATGCAGCCGAAGTGAGCCAAAGGATTAGCCAAAGGTTGGGCTTAATCCTTCAGCTCGTTAGTGCATAACCCTCTAAAACTTTACTGACAAATTCTCCTTCCTCCCAAAACAGTGGAATAGGAGGAAAACAATGTTAACAGTAAAATGTTTATAATTGTGATCACTGTGATTAGTCATCACAGTGATTACCAGATACGGAGCCACTCCAATTGTCTCTGTATGTTTTGTTTGTGATCTGAGCTGTTTGCGTTTTGTCTGTGATCTGTGGGCTCCCTCTAACCTGCTAACCATCACACTGTGCAGTAAAATTTTTAGCACAGGAGAGGACCTTGTACAACTATGCAAATCTGAAAATAGGGTTGGAGTTTAGCTTTAAATAACTGCCTTGCAAAAGACCTTATGCTAAGAAAGTATGTTAGACCTGAGGTGCAGGGCAGGAATGTCTACTTGTGAAGGTTAGAGACTTGTTCTTTACAAGTACAGTTATGATACAGTTATATTTCCACTTACTTTCAATTTCTTTTATTTTCATTTCCCATGGTATGCAGGCAGTTTTAAAATTTTCAAAATCTCTCTTGAATTTCATCCATCTCTATAATCAAAATACAGATTTTACATTGGCATAAGGTACATATAGGATTTACAGCAAACACTGCTAAAAATTTTAGGTAACACGGTTTTGAATGCAATAAAAAAAACATTAAGGTAAGTTAAAAATAGAATAAGCAGTCACTGCTGACACTGGTGAAAAGCTACATGAATGTTTTTGCAGACAAGGACCTACATCTCCTCCTATTTGTTTTGGTTAGTAAAAAAAATAGAGATATACTATAGAAGAGCAAAATTTACATAAATAGGTATGTGTACAATTCTGGGCTCCTTGGGATATCCTACATATAAAGGAGTTTTAAAAATGCAATTCAGTACCTTAACTATTAACAAAAATGCATTTTATTTGTGTATCACTCAGCTGTAGATCCTCAAATCATCTCTGAATTGGTGCTGACACCGTCCTTCCTGCTGGAGGGTGGCTACTTTTGTTCCCCATGGTCCCTGTGTGTGTTGTAAAGTAGCCACCACTCCAAGTTTATTCCTGTGATGGATTAGAATCTCAATACAAATTACTAAACTAAGCATGAGATTGTAGTCCATCACAGGAGTGAGCTTGGAGTGGTGTCTACTTTACAACACACATAGGGACCATGGGGAACAATGTTAGCCATCCTCCAGAAAGAAGGACAGTGTCAGTACAAATTCAGAGATGATTTGAGGATCTACAGCTGAGTGATACACAAATAAAATACAGTATTGTTATTAATTAGGGTTCTTGAATGCATTTTTAGGATTTAACTCCTCAGTTTAGTGTCACTTTAAGGCAAATTTAGTTTTAGAGGTAATTTCTTTTTTCAGTTCTCCACCTAGAAATCAAAAGTTAATAAAACCCTCATGACCAAGTGTAACATACACACTGTTTGGATGCAAAAGAAATGAAAGCACAAATGCAATACAAATATACACAAATATACACAAAATTCATGCCTGATAGTGCAGCTCTCGCTATACTTCCAGTCCGATGCAGCAGCTCTCATATATGGAAGCACAAATGTAGTTTATCCACACCCCCTTTCCTATTCACAGGACCCCTTGTATCCTGTGAATGGATCATGAGAAGCATAGCAAGGACTGTACCATCTGGCATGAATTAAAGCATATACAGTATTTTTAAAGAAAAGAGCAGAGATCATAGATGCCCCATAAACATCAGCAGAGGTAACTTTCTATTACACTGCGGAAATTACTAAACTATGTTTGCCTAGAGTTTTTCTTTTAAGTGGAAGCAAAGTGGGGTATCCTAGGGGAAAAAGCCCTGCCTGTGATTTTTGTCATAATGTGCTGTTTTGCACAGCATATTAACACATTATATGTGACTTACCTTGAAAACGATCCCTTCCAGCACTGCGCTGTGTGCTCTCCCATTTGTTGCTGGAGCTGATATTTTCACGCGGTCTTCTTCCTGGTTCGGCAACTTCGGCCTCTTGATTGACTGGGTTTACATGATGTAGCTCCCACGCATGTACACGAAAGTTACTACATCTCGGCATACTGGGTCTGTTTACTGAGCTGAGCACTTGTTGACAGGCAGGTAGGAGTATTTTAGACTTACACAGACTCACACAGTCTCTTCTGCTATAAAAACCCACCTGTCAGCAATTTTAGCCAAGACACTTGACTTCCATTTTAACTATACTAATTTAAAACCATTGTAATACATACAGAGGGGAATTTATCAAAACTGGAGCAGACAAAAGCTGGAGCAGCTGTGCATGGCAACCAATCAGCATCCACCTTTCATTTTCAAAGCTTAACTTAACAAACTGAAGAGAGAAGCTGATTGGTTGCCCTGGGAAACTGCTCCAGTTCTCATAAAATCCACCCATTGTGCATACTTCCAGAAATAAAGAACAGTTTCTCAAATTACCTTAGCCATCATAATTTTATATGCATAAAGCTTTCTCCCTTTTCCTCTTCCTAGGGCTCCTTCGAATTTTTCAACATAATCTTGTGCTTCCCTAATTAAGGAAAAAGTACAATTACTCACAAAATATCCTCATCCAAAAATAATGGACAACATCTATTTGGAAGCTAAATGTGGCTCCATTACTTTTGATATAAGTTACACAAAGTATACTAAGTGGACCACTTATAAGGCACTAGGATGGCCATAAATAAAATGCTAATAACTGATATCTGTCACAAGGGGTACTGGCACACAATAGCTTAAGTCAACTGAGAGCCTAAGTGTATGAGCACCAGTGAAGAAATGAAGCACTCATGGGACTTCAAAAAAGCAAACTTCACTTAAAGGAGAACTATGAGATGAGTGATTTCCAGTGAGTTCTAGCCGACCTGTGACAATGAGACTGTCACAGGTCGGCTCAGCAGATCGGGAGGTGAGCGAACACATACCGGGTTCGCTCACCTCTCGATCCTGTCACGGCTCTCTGCCGTGACAGGGGGAGGGGCTGGATTCCCCTCTCCCCGCT